TCAGAGGGGGGTCAGAGGGGCCACCATTAAATCAACACATTTATAGACGTGTTCTCACAGAAAAACAATTTTCCATTTTCCGCACCTGGAATTTCTGGAAGTGGGGGCTGCTCTTCTTCCCGGCCGTTCCCATGACGTAGAGGAAGTCTGGGGTGAGAACGAAGGGAACCCACTCCTTACTGATGCCCATGAAGCTCTTGTAGTTGCCCAGGATGTGACCAAAGTCGATGTGGAACAGATTTCCTGCAGAGACACAGACAGAGGGTCAGGGCGGGGCGGGGCCGGGGGTCCCTCCTCTTCATCACCCTCCTCTTCATCACCCTCCTCTTCATCACCCTCCTCTTCATCACCTGACTCTGTGATCATGATGTTGTCGTTGTGACGATCTCCGATCCCCAGCACGTACGTGGCCACGCAGTAACCGCCGCAGGAATACAGGAACCTCTGGACGGCCTGCTGGAACTACAGACAGTACACCAGAGTACTCAGGTACGCAGTACTACAGCCATACAAGGCTGAAATACTGACAGGAATTGAAGAAAGACACAAAGATCTTCAACAGCTCCCATTATCTTTTATTTTAGTTTTCCTGGCCCTCTGCTGCCCCCTAGCACAGGAGCTGTTCTGCCGTTCATATTTTATTTGCAATAAATAATTCATCGTTTTCAGATCAATTCAGTGAAGTTGGAAGTTTTCCACGGCGCACCAGTGGGCCACGGCCCAGTAGTTGGGAACCACTGAGGTGGAGAAATGTCAGTTTGGTCAAAGTTTTTAACTTTGGTTTATGAATGGAGCAGCAGGGACAGGACGGAGACCTGTGTCTGGTGTCCTACCTTGTCCTCACTGACACACTTGTCCCTCAGCCACTGGTGAAGGATCTCGTCTTTGAACGCCCCCGTGCTGCCGACCACGCTCTGCTGGATGTTGGCGATGGTGGTGGCGTCCTTCACGATCTCAATCATCCCTGTGAGGACAGACACCAGGACAGACACGTGGACAGACACCAGGACAGACACGTGGACAGACACCAGGACAGACACGTGGACAGACACGTGGACAGACACCAGGACAGACACATGGACAGACACATGGACAGACACCAGGACAGACACGTGGACAGACACCAGGACAGACACGTGGACAGACACAACATGTTACAGATTTGAATGTCGTCTTCAGCCCAGACACAGGAAGCTGTCAGGGTTTGGGGCGGAGACTGGGGGGGGGGGGGGGGCGGGGGGGGGGGGGGGGTGACGACCTGTACATGAAGCGGCCCCCGACCCACCTATTCTGTTTCCTGTGGAGATGCAGCCGTACGGTAACAGACACAGGTCCAGAGACTCTGTTTCCCAGATGGAGTCCATGATCAACAGAATCTGGAACCACAGGAACACAGAGTGAGACCCCTGGTGTTGAGTCGTGGTACTGCATCAGTCACACTGACCTGCAGGATGAGCATGTCCTGCCTCAGGTCGTCTCCGTCCTTGAAGATGATGCCGATGGGGTCTTTGGAGCGGGTGGTGGGGTCGGCTCGTTTGAACTGCAGCCAGAGCGGCTTCTTCTTGGACGCCATCACTTTACACTGGTCAATCTGCACGGACGAGCACACCGGCACTGACGCCCACTGTACGTACGTGTGTGTGTGTGTGTGTGTGTGTGTGTGTTAGCACGAGCTAATGAGTGTGTCCTCACCAGAAGAGCTCCGGCTCTGAGGCCGGGGTCGTAGGGGACCCTGAAACTGTCAGGAAGACCAAACGACTGCAGACTCTCCAGCTTCTGACGCAACTGAAACACAACTGAAAGACACAAACGTGTACGTGTGTGTGTGTGGGTGTGTGTTCTTTGGTGTCGCAGCTAAAACAACAAGCTGCAGCTTCGTTAGCCCGTAATCATTTGGTGAAACCCAGAGATCGTGTCATCGGAAAAAAACTGATAAGGATTCCTAGAAGTATTAACAAACATGTCGGTCGACACGGACAGAACCAGAACTGGACCAAACAGACGGAGAACCACAACAACCTCACCTCAACACAACAGTCGACAACACAACAGTCGACAACACAACAGTCGACAACACAACAGTCGACAACACAACAGTCGACAACACAACAGTCGACAACACAACAGTCCATACGAGTGAAGCAGCTACAGTCGCACCACCAGCTCCACCTCCTCTCCTCACCTTGTGCAGTGACATCATACTTGTCGGCTGCCATGGCCTTCATCTCCCTGGTGACCTTCTGCAGGGCCTCGGTCATCTTCACCTGAGGAGCACACCTGTTCACTCAGACTCTGACTCTGACTCTGACTCAGACTCAGACTCTGACTCAGTCTC